AAAGGACCAGTGAAATTGTGGGTAGAGTGGTCTTGGCTTCTGTCTTCTCGTGACAACCCTCTATCCAATAAGTGAGCATGCTGCTCACCCATTAGTGTGCATTCAGACACCATGAAGAAAAAGGATAGGTTACTTACCATAAGTATGGTTCTTCGCGTGGTTCTTGGTGAATTCACACGTCCCTCACTCCTCCCCTCTTGTCACACTGCTTCCTCAGTGGCAGTATGAGGGTCTGAAGGAGAACTGTTTGAGGCTCAAAGAGGCAATGCAGGAGGGCGGGGAGTCTAACAATCTCCTTTTTTCAAGCTCTAGAATGTTCTGAGGATCTGTGCATATGCAGAATGCTATCCCTTAGTGCGAATTCACGGAGATCCACTTGAAGAACCATAGTTACTGCAAGTAACCTATTGTTTTCAATACTTCCATATATATAGTGTTACTCAGGAGAGACTGTTCCTCTGAAAGAATACTTGAAAGGCAACTACAGCATAGATCATACATGCCTAGAGTCAGTGAAGTAAACTCCCAAGCAGGAGTACTTTTGAGTCCCATTTATTCTTGTTCCTTTCCTGCAAGGAGAGCAAAGTTGGAGCAATAAAAAAGTGAGGTAAGTTAGTGTGGAACAAATTGTCCAGAGCAACCCTGTAAATCTCAGCACTGACCAAGTATAACATCTAAACCCAGCTCTCTAGCCACTGCCAGACAGAAGTGTTCCCTAAATATCTAGAAGCCACACTTCATATTGTTCCTGACAAGTCAAGCGAATTTTACTCTCAGGCTTTTGTTTGTTTATTCCCCTTGGCTGTATCTAACTTGATGAAAGTTGGGTGTGTTGGACTGTGTTTGCACAGTATGCGGCAGAACTGAATGCTCTTTCTCTTCCTACAGGATGGGGCTGGACGGCTTGAAGATGCAGGTGAGGCCTTCGGGGCACTGATTTTTCTCCCTCTTGCTCAGAGTCAAGTACTAATAGAAAACCCAGTCTAGAACAACATCTTTGCAATAATGTGGAGAAAATGTATTTACTCTAGGTTAGCTGAAACAGGCACAAGGTTGCTTGTAACAGGTGCTGAAGTGTAATCTGGTGTGAGTGGGCACATACACTGCTGCTGTGGGCATGTTGAGAGTGGGGTGCAACATCACATGACGAGAATGTTTTGCCCTGCTCCAACCCCCACCTCTTTTTTATTTTTTATTTTTTTTTATAATGATGGTTTTATGCCCATCTTTGGATGTGCAGTTTAATTACAGGTTTAAAAAAGGAATTGCACATCCACATATGCAAACAGAGGTGGAAAAGACGGGGTGTGGTAGAGTTAGGGAAAAAGATATGATGGAGGTGAAGGGAAAGCGAGGCTGTGTTGAACAGGAGAGATAGGGAAGGGTCAGGCAAAGCTTGAATCCACAGCCTTGGGTCCTTGCTCACCCAAGGCTCTACAGGGTGTCTCCTGAACAGCAAGAGGCTCCTTCTGTTTTATTTCAGGTAGCCATATTTAGTAAGGGAGTAATCGTTTTTCCAATGAGTCTTGCAGTGATTTATTTTTTTTATTTATTTTTTTGTTATTTATTTCTTTGGCCGGAACAGATTAATTGCATTTCAATGCATTCCTATGGGAAATGGTGCTTCGACTTACAACCGTTTCGACTTACATCCATCTTCTGGATCGGATTATGGTCATAAGTCGAGGCACCACTGTATAGGTAAATAATACTTGGAGTGAGAGCAGTTTGGAACAGGGCAAAGTGCTTGCTGTCTGTAGAATGTTTTTCACTGGCTTCTCACATGAGGAAAAGAGATTTCTTGCCAGTTGAAGAGTTATTGAGGAAACATGCAGGGAAATTTTTTGGAATCAGTTGTGTGTTTTCTGATGTTTGGAGGAAATGCCAGATAGCTAGGAGATGACTGTGCCCCTCTTCTCTTTTAGGGCACCAACGGGTCCCAAGTTTGGGATACAGCATTTGCTGTCCAGGCTTTCCTAGAGGTAATGCCTTTTTCCCTCAATGTTTCCTGATTTAATATTTTTTTAAAGTCTTTGATTTGTTATTTTAAATAAATAACTATATGTCATTTAACATACAGAACAATCTGATAAAGTATATAGATTTCACTGAGTCTGTTGAAACATGTCATTGAGAGACTCATTGCAGTGTAGTCAGTAAATAAAATGGCTCATTAACGTACTTTCTTCCAGGATGAGCGAGGGTATGGTGACTTTTACTCTCTGTCTTGTTAAAACAAGTAATGAAGCTATACTTTTGTTTGGCAAGTTTGCAGGATTAGTAAAAATCCTGTTGCTTAGCAAAGTAAATCATACGAAATTTCACCCCTTGAGTCAGTGGGCATTTGGTGAGTCAGCTCTTCTGTAGGTCTTATTAATTGAAATAGGCCTGCTCTAATTGCAACTGAGCTGGCTGGATTAGATATCTGACTGTGGAGCCAAAGGTTGGAAGTTTGATTCCCTACTGTGCCTTCAAGTAGAAGAGCCAGCCTGTGTGGCCTTGGGCAAGCTGCAGAATCCCAGAAGTGCTCCCAGAAGAAGGGGGGGGGAGAGTAAACCACTTCTGTGTATCTTCTATCTAGAAAGGGTTTTCAGTTTCAATCATAAGTTGAAATTGACTTGATGGCATGCCCCCAAAAAATGGAACTTAAACATAGATCACAATTAGAGTGGATCCATTTAAATCAATGGAACTTAACAGAAGAATTGACCCATGAAATCCCCACTGACTCAGTGGGCCTACTCTAGTGTGATTTACAATGTTAAGCAACAGGATTTTGCCTTGACTGCATTATCTTCAAGATCTGATTTGTCCGCTTTTCAGCAAGTGCTCTAGGTACAGAACTGGGGTCCGTATTAGATGTGAACCTCATGAACACAATGAATATTTGTCTTCTTGTTTTGTAAGTAGCAATCACAGGGAGGCCTGAGCTTCTGTGGAGTCTGGTAGGGTAGACAGAGGTTGGTTAACTCTTTCCCTGTGTCATGTGAACTTTATAAACAATCACTTCTAAGAGGATGCTGATTCCTCTTCAAGGAAGATCTTTGCCCCGGCTCTAGCGGAAAATTCCTATGAAATGAAGCTGCCAGCCTCATGAAGCCATTTATTTCAGGATCCTAACAGGGATAGAGAGAATTAAAATGTCTCCCTCACCCAGGTAGTACAAAGCCTTTTAAGTCTTCTTTTTTCCATTACAGTGGTGCCTCGCTTAACGAGCGCTTTGTTTAACGATGAATTTGCTGGGCGATTTTCGCTTAGCGATGTTGGGACTATGCTTCGCATAACGATTAAATTTTTGGGTCCCCTGTTTCGCTTAACGATGGTTTAAACAGCGTCATGTTTGCTGTTTTTTAAATGTTATAAAGTTAAAGTTTACTGTTTAAAATGTTTGAAATCATAAAGTGCACTTAATAAACCCTATGTTAACCAAATGTGACTTTGTTCTGACTCTTTTTTAATTTGTTGTTGATTTTTTCCCCCATTGAGATGCATTGAATAGGTTTCAATGCATTTCAATAGGGGAATAGCGTTTCGCTTAGCGATGTTTCCTATGGCGATTTTCCCTTAAGGACGGCAATTCATTCCTATTGGAACGGATTATCCGGTTTTCAATGCATTTCAATGGGAAACCGCGTTTCGCTTAGCGATGTTTTCACTTAGCGACAAATTTTATGGAACCAATTAAAATTGTTAAGCGAGGCACCACTGTATTTTACTTTCTTTTTTAAAAAAATTGCATGCTCTTAGTGGTATGTGGAGTTTGGCCACAATTTGCAGGGAATTTGGTGTGGTTTACTCCCTAACATGTGTGCATAGGATTGTGGAGACTGTGTGGGATTTTAACTGATGTAAACACTTTGAGTGATGTTTAATTAAGCAATTTAAAATAATATTTTTTTAAGGCTGGTGCTGAGAAGAAACCAGAATTCTCTTCTTGTCTGATACATGCGCATGAGTTTTTGAGAATCTCACAGGTAAGGGCAGAATTACCAGGGTGTACACTTCTGAGTTAATTTCTTGTGGTCCACTTCTATTATAATGTTACTCACATTTTAATAAAACAAATTTATTTTCCAGTGTATATCACTGGAAACACCCCAGCTCCAGAAGACTTCTCCACACCATATATTCTTGTTAAAAAACTTAATAGTCTTTCTTCCAGGACTACTAAAACCATGAAAAAATCCAAAAAGGCCAAGAGGGAAATGTCTCCCAGTTTAGGGGAGTGTTCCCGTCCACCTCCTTCCAAAGTCGCTTGGCCTGAACTGGCTCCCCTGGAAACCCCTGCCTCCACCTCTCCAGCCTTCACTCAGCCTTCTGTGTGGCCCAAGCCATCCTCCAGCTCCAGCTCTTCCTCCTCCCCCTCTCACCTCCTGGATCCAAGTTTCTCCGAGGCCTGTTCACAATGCTGGTTCCTTCAGCTTCGGCTTCGACTGGCTTTGATTCGTTCCAGCAAGCCGCAGTTTTGACTCTTCCGGCCCCATTAGCACCTCCTAAGCTTCAGCCTCAACCATCCACTTCGCTCAGAGCTCCTCCTTAGGCTTCAGATTCCTCGGCTGCAGGACAGCAGTCGGCTTGTGTAGGAGCCCTGCCCCCTCGGCTCCAACCCTTGGATCCAGCAGCTGCCGGACTGCAACGCTCCTCTCCTGTCCTGCCATGTCTTATTGCCAACCTGCACAGCCCTCCTAGGTGCCCTGTTCTCAGATGACCCTGCAAGAGCAGCCAGGAGTTTCCCATCTGCCTTTGTGATGTGCTTCTGAGAGGATGACTATTCCTGCTCCTCCTTCCTTATTGGCTCCTACGCTTCAAGTAGCCCTGAGCGCACAGTTGTACACTCGTGGCTACTCTCCGACTGCCTGTGCCTTCTCTTCTGGCACCATTTCCTCCTGGGCAACAGTACCTCGTACCACCTTCGGTTCCATCCTCTGGTGCTCCTAGACCATGTCTAGATGGGCGGCATATAAATGCAATAAACAAATAAAATAAATACTTGGCCTCTTTTGACTTCAAGGCATGGGCGTAAATACCAGGAGCACAGGCATCCCTTGGCCCAACTCATTTTTCTGTTCCAGACAGGCTCACTTTTCTGTTGTGGACACAGCCGCTCCCACTGCATGACATCAAAGCCATCCTTTGAAGCCATACAGCTTGGATCCCACCTTCCATCAGGATCTCCACTGTCTGCCAGATTCAGCCTCCCTTGTTTCCTTGTCAGATTTGATGCCTTTTGGATCCAGTCAGCAGCAATGGGCTCAATTCCAACAGCAGTCACATCTTTCTTAAGCTGCCATCAGATCTGACCCCTGTCTTCAATACCAGCAACTCCTCTCTGCCCCAGCCACCCTCGGATCCAACATCCACCACCAACCACCATGTCCAGAACATCATCTAGCCCAACCCTTCCAGCAGCAGGGTTTTACATTGCGACCACTTGCCTCCCATTAACTCTCAGCTTCTCCGTCTGTTTTGGATTCATCCTCCTTCTCTGAATCAGAGTCTGAGCCTTGTTCAGCCATCACCTTGAAATGGTAACTTTTTTGCTGATGTTAGCTAAGGATGCTTGGAAGAAGACAGCATCTTCAGCCCCAACAGACAGAAGAGTTGAGAACTTTTACAGGGTTCATGATGAAGGAGCTTTCTTCTTAAGCATCCCTGCTCTTACTAGATAATTGTTTTTGCTTCCCAGATCCAACTGAGGTGCCAGCTCCACAGAGTAAAGAAGGTTGTAAGTTGAATGTGTAAGCAGCCCCTTATCTCCAAGAAGATTTATGGGGGTGCCGGAAATTGGGACGAGTACGAAAACCAGACAAACCTCTAACTGCTGAGCAGAGCCACTTAGATCTCAGCCAGGTTCTGTCTAAATTTTCTTCCTCAGAAAGCCAATCTCCTTATTAAGAAAGCAAGACACACAGACACATCCTTGAGCTATACTCAGAATAATCTGGCTCTGGAACTTAGGGTAGCAAACACACGTGGCCAATTAGTCATTCCGCCAGTCTGTGCAAGAACTAACACCTGCAGATTAAATCATTACTGCTTTATTGAAAAGAATTACTTTAGAAAAGAATTCAGTTGATAGTAAAATAGTTTAGTAGGTACATTTTCACTCAAGACCAACGGAACACTCCACTCCCCCCACTCCAGCTAAAAAAATAAAGAAATGAAACTATGCTAACTAATATAAAGGGTAACATAGTCCATCTCACGTGTCTTAGGTCTTCAAAGGCTGATGCTAGATGAAAACCAGTCCATGGTAGGAAAAATAGTCCATTAAGGGGAAAGCACGTGTCTGCCCCTTTCCCAGGCAAACTCCATCTCTTTCTCACTTCCTTCTTCTTCCCGGAATGCCTCCTGGGTCTTGTTGTCCCGCCTAACTTTCTCATGGAGCTTCAGTTGTTATCATTCTTTGTGGCAGAATTATTTTGACTACGAAAGTCTCTGCTCTCTACTCAGCTTAGCAACGAGATAACCAGAGAGCGAAGCTTCTCTGAAACAGCATGTAAAACTTTCCTACTACAGAACAGACTTTAAATCAAAATGGATGCTATTGGGACAATCTTAGGACTACATATCCCATTCTAATACACATAAAAACACAAATCATCACAGGATGGTGACAGGAGACACCTATATTCCGCTGCATCATTGGTGGTCCATGTTGCCAGTGACCAAGGGGCAATGTGTGCCTTCCAATGGGTACTCCTTAACAAGCTGCAGCCTTCCGTTTAGACACCTTACCCGACACAGCCCAGACTGACACGGTAGCAGTTTACCACGAGGCTGTGGTGACCCAGCAAATACGTTTGGCCTGTTGTGCCACAGACTGTGCCACTAAGATCATAGTGACCACAGTCATCATCTGGCGCCATGCTCGGTTTCGTTTGGCTGATCTAGTGGATGATGTCTTCTTTCTCCCGTTTGATGATGAGGTTCTTTTCCATGACTGATGACATCTTGGAGGATCTTTGAAAGCACATAGCTGCAAAAGGGCTGGACTCCATCCTCATCACCAGCAGTGCTATTATTGTCAGTCCCAGAGGAGACCCAACTCTACTTCTTCATCTCGGCAACCCTACGACAGGCGGAGATCCTTCCCTTTTGCCTCCACTGCCTCCTGCTATTCTCAAAGGGGCAGGCGCCAAAAGTATAGATCCCATCAAGGTTCTAAGTGCCAGGTCTGCATGTCAGAGCGGAGTCTTTGACTCTCCATTTCTACCAATGGTTCTATTCCAACTAGCCTCATGCCTGGACCCCTCGTTGCTCTTAACTCCATTCCTCTCAGCATGGCTCCACATAGCTTCAAACAAATGGGTCCTTTCTATCATTTGCCATAACTGTGGCCATGGAGTTCATCTCTTTCTATCATTTGCCATAGCTGTGCCATGGAGTTCATCCAGCCAGTGTCTCATCATCCCATTCTGGAGGGTCACTATTCTCAATACTTACACGGCTCCAGAGAAGGGTGGTGGTCTCATGCCTAATCTCAACCTTCACAAAGTCAGCAAACTCATCCATAACAAGAAATTCTGTATGATAACAGGAATCTATTATTCCATTGCTGCATCACAGGGATTGGTTTGTGATGATAGATCTCAAAAATGCCTACATTCACATTACCTTCAGGCAAGACCACCGCTGTTTCCTTCACTTTGCTGTTGGCAAAGTGTAGTCTGTCAGTTCCAAGAGCTTCCCTTCGGCCTCTCCACAGCCCTTCGAGTCTTCACCAAGTGCATGGCCCTGGTGGCTGCTTTTTTGTGCACTCTGGGCATTATGGTCTACCTATACATCAGTGATTGGCTGACTGTGGCTGCATCCGAGAAGCAGGCACACAACCACATCAGGTCCACACTGGTTTTCCTCAAGGACCTTGGCCTTTGAGTCAACCTTGACAAGTCTACATTGGGGCAACCTTGAATTCCATTACTCCCAATGAAGCTTTTGCCCCTCCTTCCCACCTCCTTGATATCCTCTCCGTGGTCCACACCTGTGTTCCCAGTGCAGGGGTCTCAACTCACAACACTCAGCGTCTGCTTAGGCCTCATGGCCTTGGCCTCAGCAGTTCCACACTCAAGGCTTAGAAGGCAGTCCTTGTAGTCATGGTACCTCTCACTCTTCAACCTTCTCCATAGCCACTCAGCCCTGCTTCTCCTGGAGCTCAGTTCCTAGTTGCAATGGTGGAACAACCCTCTAAACCTACTTCTAGGCAAGACTTTCCATTCCCTGACTTGGTCCATTCAAGTCATCTCTGACGTGAGCCTCTTCGGTTGGGATGCGTTGTGCCTTTTGTGTAAAATTCATGACACCTGGATTTATTGGGATTCTCTGCTTCGTATAAATGAGCTGGAGTTGCTTGCAGTGTTCAAGGCTTTCAATACTTTCTTACCTCTTCTGTCGGGCACGGTAGTACAGGTAGTCACCCAACAACACAACTACCATGTACTACATAAACAAACAGGGAGGCATCCACGCTAGACGTCTCCTTATTTTGACTGTGGACCTCTGGGAATGGTGCATGGAGCACCACATCTTTCCAATGGCCATTCATCTGGCTGGTTAAGACAACAAGGCTGCAGTCTACCTCAGCAGGAAGTGCACTCAGAACCACGAATGGGAGCTGAATCACCAAGTGTTCCTGTCTTTCTGTGACATGTGGGGGACCCTAGAAGCCAACTTCTTCACCCCAAGTTGAAAAAGGAAATGTGAGGTCTTCTAATCTCAAGTGGGGAGTAATCCCCAGTTCTCTGGGGGACGTTTTTACATTCCATTTGAGTCATCACCTCTACCTATTTCCTCCACTACTTTTAATCCACTATGTGATCACCAAAATCAGGCAGGAGAAGGCAAATGTTATCATGCTGACTCTGTGGCGGCCCAGACAAGCAATGGAAGGGGGTTTCACCTGACCTTGAACGTCTTAAGCATGAAGGATACAACGGAGATCAAGGCAGTGATAGCTGCACCCAGGAAACCCTCCACCATGCACACGTAAATCCAAATCCTTTGCTGCTTCTAAGGGCTGCTCAGCATCTGACCCACCCCTCCACATGGTGCTGAGTTTCCTACTTCATCTAAAGCAACAAGGTCTCTCTTCCTCCTCTGTAAAGGTTTATCTTGCTGCCATCGTTTCACATCGGCTCGATGGATCCCCAGTTTCCTGGTTCTTCAAGCATCGTTGCCTGAAACTGTTCCTGAAAGGTGTCAGACATACTTTCCCTGGCCGACACCTGCCTTCACTTCAATGGCCCCTTCAGTTGGTTCTTGCCTGCCTTATGAGACCCCCCCATTTGAGTCTTTGGCAAGAGTCTTTGGCAAGAAACGACCTACGCTTACTTACAGTGGGGTCTTGACTTAAGAACGGCTCGAGTTAAGAACATTTTGACTTAAGAACCACTCTCATACTTAGATTTGAGTTAAGAACTGAAAAAAAACCACATGGGAGGCAGGGAAAGTGCAAAATTTGAACTTTCAGTTAACTGTTGGCCAGTGCAAAGGGTGCCTGTCTGCTTCCTCACTCCTCCCAGCGTTTAGAGAGTGGATTGGGAGACAGTCTTCAGATTGCCTGGTCCTGTACTGCCTGGACTGTATTTTCCCTGCCTTCCCTGAACCTTTCTTGACCTAAGGAAAAAAAAGAAACAAAATATCCCCCTCTAGTGGTCGAAGGCGGAATAGCAGTTTCCCATTAGTTTCTATGGACGGAAAAGAGCAGATACGGATCAAATGGTTTTCAATACGTTCCTATGGGAAATGCAGATTTGACCTGAGAACTTTTTGACTTGAGAACCGCCTTCCAATACGGATTAAGTTCTCAAGTCAAGACCCCACTGTACCTTTAAGCCTACCTTTCTCCTTGCTGTCACGTCTGCTCATAGAGCAAGTGAAGCTGTGTGCCCTCTGCCATGACTCTCCATCTCTGCAGTTCTTCAGAAGAAATTACAGCGTACCCTGATGTCTGCTCTCTAACTCAAGTGGTCTCTCACTACCACTTATCTCAGCCTATACTCCTTCCAACTTTTTTTCCAAATCCATCTTCCCCTTTGGAAAGGGACCTCCATGCATTGGATGTTTGTAGAGCTCTGGCTCTTTATATCTCACGTACTGCTTCATTCCGTTCCACCCTGAATTTGTTTGTTTGTTATGATACCACAGCTAAGGGGGCACTGGTTTCAACCCAGCGTTTTTCTCATTGGATAGTTTCTAAAGTCTCATTATCTTACCAGTTGCCACAATCCGTCAAGACTCATTCCACAAGAGTGGCATCAGCGTCAATTGCGCCTTCCTAAAAGGCGCTCCTCTCCCAGAGGTGTGCAGAGCTGCAACGGGGTCCCAGCCTTCGACCTTCGTGCATCACTACAGGATGGATGTTTGTGACAAGGCATCTGAGGCTTTTGGCAGAGCACTACTCTCGGCATCTCTGGCGTGACATACCTACTGAGAAGTGAGCGTGCTGCTCACCCACCGGTATGATTCACAGAGACCATGAAGAATAAGAACAAGTTACTTACCTGTAAATGTGATTCTTCAAGTGCTCCTCCATGAAGTCACACAACCCACCCTCCTTCCCGCTGACTGTCACACTGTTTTCCTTTCTTCTGATGTCTGCCAGCAGCGGCCACACAGGGAACTGAGAGGGTTCTGCACATATGTGCTGTGAAACCCACATGTGTGACTTCACAGAAGACCACTCAGAGAACCACATTTACAGGTAAGTAATTTGTTCTTCTCAAAAACAGCTAGATTTTCCAGTATTCTCAGCACTGTGTTACATACAAAGGCATGTATTTTAACCTCTTCAAACTGATGCCTCTGGAGAAGTATGCATTTTGTTTACCAAACTTAAATAACATAGCCGGAGGTGTTTTTTTATATCATTATACAGTCATATTCGTGACCTCTTCTCTGTAGTCCTCAAGGCAATGCAATATTTATTCCAGAAAACGTTCCATATTCAGTAAAAATGTTTACATATTAAGTTGCAGAAATACATGTACAGACCTTTTTAAGCTAACTCCTTCAGGTCCAGATTGGGAATAACATTAATCATATTGTAACTTATTTACAGTAAGATGTTTTCTCCAAGTCTCTATCATGAGCAGAATCTTTTCTAAAATATTTTTTGCTATGGTATTGATTTGTTTCTCTCTGCCCTGTTTGAAAATAATTTTGCATCTTTTCCAGATTCCAGATAATCCACCTGATTACGACAAGTATTACCGACATATGAACAAGGTACAGTTAAAGAAGGAGGTAGAAACCTGGTTGAAAAGGTGCCTTCTCTGGAAATATGGATAGCAGACACTGGCTTAAAATCAGTAGTAAATTCCAAGTAGAATAGGCTGATTTGAACTAATGGAACTCGCAGATGAGTTGACTCAACAAATCCCTGCTAATTCAGTAGGCTTACTGTAGTTGTGCTCTAACACTGGTTGCAGCCACTAAGTCCACAAAAAGATGTCTGTTCAGTTCTGTTCCTGATTGTTTCCTAAGACAAAAGGTATTATGTCTGTTTTTGTTGTAGGTAAAAGCAAAATACAAATAAGCAATTAAAAAAGACAAAAATGTGATGGCACCGTAAAGACTAACCTTTATGTTTTTTAATGTGAGCTTTTGTGGACAAGTCCACTTTATCAGAAATGCCTGTTTTCAGTAGCTTTTTCTCATGCAAAACTGAAATATTTTTCTGCAATGTGTGAGCCAGATCTACTTGCCTGTAGCTTAAGGAGATTTACATCATCATCTCTGAATTATTCTGAATTCTTTGTAAATGTTGTTTATGCTTTTTATTAAACAGCTTTATACATAGTGTAATTTTTAAATCCCAAATAATTAAAGACAGATTCTAAGATGTGTTTTTATACCTTTTTCTCCTGTCCTGAAATGACAGAATAGCACTATCTAGAAGACTAAGAAAGTCTGTTGGACATCATTTTATGATTCAGTATCTCAAGTTCAGGCTTCCCCTCCTTTTTCTTTAAAAAAAATCTGTCTACCATCTGATAACCCCTAGGGTGGATTTCCCTTCAGTACTCGTGACTGTGGTTGGATTGTCGCTGACTGCACTGCAGAAGGGCTGAAGTCAGCAATGCTACTCCAAGAGAAGTGCCCATTCATAAAAGACCACATTCCGCCCAGCCGCCTCTTCAGTGCTGTGAATGTGGTAAGTGGGGGGATGGGGGAATAGACAGAAGAACATTTCTTGTCCTGTAGAGTCACTGCTGCCTCTCAAGCTCCATGGGCTGGTCAGTAGTCTCAGACTGGAGACGAGCATTTCTAAGCAAAAACCAAGGAAGGCAGCGTAACTGAGACCTTGTGAACTCACAGGGAGGGCTTTTGACACATGCCTTTGACCTTCCATCATGCGCATATGTATAACTTAACAGACGTCAGACTTTCTTATTTCCTCTGTGTTCATTTTCAGTTGCTAAGCATGCAGAACGCCAATGGTGGCTTTTCTACATATGAGACTATGCGAGGAGGGTGGCTGCTGGAACTACTGAATCCTTCTGAGGTGTTTGGTAAGAATCAGGGCTTGTCTTGTACCCACTACTGATGGTGGAATTTCTTTCAATGGACAAGGAGATCAGGTAGAGTTCTCTTCCTCAACAACTGGTGCAAAATGAGGCCTTTGGCCTCCTCATTTTGGCCAAGTACATCATTGTCTTTGAATGCATCTCTGTTTTACAGACTACAGTCCTTCCCCCTAAAGCAGTTCCATTTAGTTTTTCTTCATGGTCTCTGTTGTCTATACTAATGGGTTTGTACCTGGGCAGAGCCGCATTCCGGAACATTCTCTAGCTAAGCATTTTGGCAATAGCCCCACCCCTTACCCACCCATGCATATATAGGCACACCCTGAGCAAAAGCTAGTTAGTTCCTTTTTCTCCACCTCATAAAATACTTCGGTCTCAGCAAAGTGGTTCTCAGTTCTGCATTTCTTCAGTTCTCCACACATTCATATTTTCACTTTTGGTTTCCCCTTCTGTTCTTCACCTCTAGCCCCTCTTTAAAAATGCATTTGATGCAGTGGGAGCTTTGCCACAATTGACAAGCACCCCAAGTGCCTTTTTTCTGGACCTGGGATGCTCTCACTCAGGGCCTAGCTATACATGTACGAGGGGCAGGCCTACCACCAAAATGCTTAGCTAGGGAATGTTCCAGAATATGGCTCTGCTCAGGCACAAACCCACAGATGGCCACTTGAAGAAGCACAGTTACAGATAAGCAACTAGACATTCCTGATATCATTTAATTTTTATCACATTTTTTTTTGGGGGGGGGAAGCGACCACTGTTTCACTTGAAAGAAAAGAAGCATGATTTCAAGATGGCAGGAATACATTTCTTTTTTTTTTTCTTTTTAGTTTGAATGTAACATATATAATGCATACATAAATTGATGCTGGGCCTAAAAGAGTATGTAGCACAGCTATAAAAGCAAAAGAGCACCAACAACACCATGGAATGTGCCAGCTCATGACACAGTGCACTTCCACCCCAGACCTCCATCTAGCTCAGGAGATACCTAGCCGGACTCTCTGATGAAAGGTTTTCTTTGCTGACTTCTGATGATTGGGCACATCTGCCATATTGTTTCTGGGATTTTGCAGGCGATATCATGGTAGACTACACTTACGTTGAGTGCACTTCAGCAGTGATGCAGGCACTGAAACACTTCCATGAGCATTTCCCTGAGCACAGAGCATCAGAGATAAGGTAAGAGGAGCAAACTTGAACGGGGGGGCAGGGGGGGAACAGGGAGGCCCCTTGCAGAATCTTCAGGAGGTGAAGTGAAGATTCCTTCAGTGAAGCCTCTTGGAATATAAACAGAAGGCTGTAGTTGAATGCATTCCATCTCTTTGAAGGAACAATACAACTATCTTAGTGGGAGCAGTGTTTCCAGAGTATACATTTTTATCATTTGCAGTCTGATCTGGATGTAAGAGGGAGAAATAGTGGAGAGTCACATAAAGATTTGCTTTTGTTTTCTTTTTTTCTCATAGAAAGGTGCTCCAAAAAGGCTTCCAGTATTGTCGGAGAACGCAGAGAGCTGATGGTTCCTGGGAAGGGTAGGCATTTTCATAAAGGGAAGTGTAACCTCAACTGCTGAGGACAGGCTTCAGGGGTTTTATAACCTAGCAAAAGTTTCCATCTCAGACGACAGGATGGCTGTGTGGTTTGTTGGGTGGCTTCATTTTTTTTCTTACAGAAAGCCAATGCCATTTCTGTGCTAACAGTTTCACTTTACATGTTGGAGAGTCAGCATAACATAGGAGTACAAATCATGACTCTGGAATGCCCTGGTTCAAATCCTAACTGAACTATGTTTTCAGTGCTTAGCTTCAGGTAAATCAGTTTCAGTACAGGTCTTGAATGTTATCTGTGTAAAATATGATGTATCTGAAGACTGCTAAAAATGTTATTATTAAAATAATAGTTTAAAACTTTAGAAAATAGAATGTAGATATACTTTAAAAGGTAATGGTATAAACATAATGTGCTTAAGGAATTTGAATGCTATTATGGGATGCTACTTGTAGTATGTGGTGCAAAAGCATAGGACCTTTCTTTCCAGCATTTACACCCTTTTCCAGAAGCAGAATTCTAATCTGGGAAGGGCCTAGAAGTTGTCTTCTAGCAGGAAATATGACTGATAGCAGTTACCTCAGGAGTTGGTGAGTGTTCCAACACTCACCAAGAAAAACCTAGATAATCACCTGGCAGATATGCTTTGATTGTATTCCTACATTGAGCAGGGGGTTGGACATGATGGCCTTGTAGGCCCCTTCCAACTTCACTTTTCTATGATTCTGTAGTGTGGCCAAAGCACAGTGGGCACGGCCAGATGTTATTGTAACCAGTCTGGACATTTCCCCACTCAGCCATCACAGTACAACTCAATTTGGTGCCCATGTACTCAAGATGAGATCCCAGTCCAGTAGTCTCCCAGGCTATAAAAGAATTATCTGTTTCATGCAAAGCTCTATGCTCAGTTTTCTGGATTTCAAATAGCGTCTCATTGCCAGTCACTGATAGAAAAAAGATGGCAGCAGAAAACACTTGTAGGCTGGTTGGGAAACCCTCCACCCCAAAGACAATATCTGGCCTGTAGGTTACAGGTTCCTGATCACTCTAATAGAACTAGGTCACCAGGTAAATGAGCATTTAAAGATGACATGAGGATGTACAGTATTCAGAGCATTAAAAATGGCAATAGTTCCGACATGGATTTCCCTCTTCCCAGTCTTATGCATTGTTCTCTGTGTGTGGTAATTGAAGATGAAGGCTTTTTACCATGTACTTGATGGAGAAAGGGGTATAAATGCTACAAAGAAAAATTTAAAAGGCAAAGCATCTGTCACTTATGATCCATCTGCTTCCTATTGGTGCATATTGAATGGGGACTTGGGAGATCCAGATTCAAATTGTCCTACCTTGAAACTCACTGAATTACTTTAGACCACTGAATTCTGGTTCCTTTGGAGAACATATTGAGGCCAAAGTGCCTGGGGTTTTCCTCCTCAGATATTTTTCATTTGCTGACCTATTTCTGCTCTCCATTAGGTGTTGGGGTGTGTGCATCACCTATGGCACGTGGTTTGCGTTGGAAGCATTTGCTTGTATGCAGCACACCTATCAGGATGGGTAAGTGAACATCTGTTCCCAGTTGTGTAATGCGGTTCTGCAGATCAGGTAAAATTACTTTTAATAGGAACAATCTCCAAAGGAAAGATCTAGCATTAGGGATGAGCTATTTATATCCTGCACTGAACCTAAAGACTGGATGTGCTAAATTTCAGCCTGGTATTAGTCTGACCTTAAGAGAAAAGGCAGCGGAGAAGCAGTCCTAATAATCCATCACGTAAATATTTGGAGCCTCGGTGGTCTGGCACTCACCTGAGACAAGACAAAAAGGGGGCACTGCTGCGAGGCCAGACATGCTCCTCCCCAACCAAGGCATTGTTAATGTTTAATGGAGGAAAATCTTCTTGGTCAGCAGTTTTAATACATCATCTGTTCTCCGTATATTGCTGCAGCAACGTCACCTGGCCTCATCAGAAGTTAGGCATTGGAGATCCTTCCCCCCCCCCAAAAAAAATTCAACTGTTATTTCTCTGCCAGTTCCAGATTCTGCTTATGGCTTGCAACCAGCTGTTGAGCTTTGTGGGAACATTTGAATTGAGTGTGTTTTGTACGTTTCTGGGATGTAATGAATTTGTGCCTTCTTCTTCTCTATCATTATTCTCTGTACCATCAATCTGCGCTTCGTGGTATGATTAAAGTCCTTTCCCCTGTCCTCCTTGCCCCAGGACGGTCCCTCCACATTGAGAACGACCTCTGAAGGCAAGCAGCCTCTTCTTCTTCGTCTTCCTTTTCTCTTTCAGAGTGGCCTGTGAGGAAGTGTCCCGTGCTTGCGAGTTCCTGGTCTCCAAACAGATGGAGGATGGTGGATGGGGAGAGGATTTTGAGTCATGTGAACAGCGCAGATACATCCAGAGTGCCGCCTCCCAGATCCACAACACCTGCTGGGCTCTTCTCGGACTCATGGCGGTTCAGTAAGCGCTTGTGGCTAGAAGGGACGTGGGCTCCTCATTGCCAACCTCTCCTGATAGCCTTGGGCCTCTGCATTTCTCGTGAGGTCAAATAGACACAGCCATCTCTCCTTCCGGGATAGGCTTTGGGTGCTGGTGGCCATCTAACAGCTGCATCCCCTAACTGTAGTCTAATGGGGGGGGTGGGGGAAGCCCCACATCTTTGACACAAACAGATTCCATAGATGTCTCCTTGGGAAAAGACAATTACTTTCTCTCCCCCCACACCCCCAGCATTACTTTGTCTGGAAATCTTGTATTCAGTCTTCAGATGTGGCTTGTCTGTCCACTTAGAAGGATCAGAGCTGCAAGACAAGCTAAGAATGGTGTCTGTTTGAACAATCACAAATCAGTGTAGATACTTCAGTTGTTGTTGGGGCAGGTGTGGGGGCTGACACAGTCCACTCTTATTATATGCAGTGCCCTCATTAGCTATACAGGCAAATGGAAGACAGCGAGAGCAGACACACCTCTAGCCTGCTCAGACATAGCGCCAGACACTTTCTGTGCTCAAAGGAGAGCCTTCCAAGAGGCCCTTAGCCTCTTCTCTTTGCATTGCTCTGGAGTGTGGGGCAGGTCACACATTAATGTGGTGGAGTTTGAACTTCTAGCTTGGCATGCTGGGGACTTGAATGCAACTCTTCTGAATTTGGAAATTACTTGCTGCAGTTTCTCTCTCTAGATCTAACCTTAGCAATTTCAGAAGTGTTTCTTTGCTTTGTAGCTATCCAGATGTGAAAGTCTTGGAGAAGGGAATCAAAGTTTTGATTCAGAAACAACTGCCTAATGGGGATTGGCCTCAAGTAAGTCCATCTTTTTTCAGTGTATCCCACGTTGACTTGCATTTTTGTACAAATTACAGCATCGCCATTCACCTAAATTTGTTCATCCCCCCCTTTACCTGCTTAGCTCTTTGCAATTTCTCCCACTGTTTCTGTTTCAAGTCTTGAATCTTATTTTTTGTCACTCCTGTCTCCTCCAGATACCAGTGTGAATCATACAGAATCTTTGCTTAGGTAGACAGCATTCTTTTTCTGGCTGCTAGCCAGGCCATGAGAAATAGTTTTGACCATTACTTATCCTTGGAGGCTCCATTGTCAGAATCCCTGCTGAACGTTTTCACCTTGCTGATGTAGTTCTTATACATGGCATGTGAGCAGTGCAGACAGGAAAGACAAGTGCCATCTACACTGATGTGCTAATGATTATTGATTACCTGTCTGATTTGCCCTGATATCCCTGCATGTTCCTCTGTAATTTTCCCTTGCCCTTCTCTAGTGCATGCTACCCTTTGACATCTTCACGACTGTTTACCTAATCCTTTTTCTAGCAGTTTGTGTTCACCATCTCAGGTGAATTTCACACTCCTTTCTGTTTGGGTTTATGATGCAACCAGGATCTTTACACAGACCAGACTCCAAATATCAAAAGTGTATAGGATCTGTTGTGGAACTGGTGACTTATAGATTGCTTCTGTTGTTTACAGAGTAGGCATGGCTTACCAAAGGAAACAAAGAATAATATTGCAATTACAACTTGTTATATAATGATACCCCATAAATACTTGAATACCAATTATGCTAAGTAAACAGATCTACTTGATTACCAGTTACACTAAGTACTACAGATCTATATAACATCACAACTTGTTATATAATGATACCCCATAATACTTGAATACCAATTACGCTAAATAAACAGATCTACTTGATTACCAGATACACTAAGTACTACAGATCTATATAACATCTCTTATTTCTTCTTTGCTTTCTACAGATCTATATAATATATTTTATTTCTTCTTTGCTTTCAACACAATCAAAGAAAAGATAATTTATTACACAAGTCACACCTTACATCACATTCTTGTTTTCTAAAGTTCCTGTCCTTCAAAGGTATATGTTATCTTTTTCACCATAATATTGTCAAAACATATTGCATTTTATCAGATATTGCATCAGCATATTAAGCACTGTATGAGGCCAAGACCATAACACAGCTGACTGTTTTCCATACAAAGACTTATGACCTTATTAAATCCTTCTTGTATTTTAGAACCTTTTGTGCTTCTTACCACCCAGGAAAGATAAGATTCTGTTATTTTGCTCTACAGGAGAACATTGCTGGAGTATTTAACAAGACCTGTGCTATCAGCTACACTTCCTACCGCAATGTCTTCCCCATCTGGACCCTGGGACGCTTTTCTCGTCTGTATCACGCCAGCCCTCTTGCTAGCAAGCTCTCTACTGGGGCCTTAAGAAATGGAGAAAAGAGACTGGCTGCAGGGCTGACAAGTAAAAATACATTGTCATTCATCCTTTCCTAAGTTTGGGATAGTAACCAGTGCTGAACTTACCATTTTGTTGAAATTCTTTGTAATTTTCTCAATTGCTATCAAGGGCTATGTAAAGATAACCATAAGGTTCTGTTTGAAAGAACCTCTGAAAGGACACAATTGAAGGGAAGGCACTGAAAAGTCAATGGCTAAATTGTCGTCCTCCAGATTCTGGTTAGGATTGGAAATACAAGACACAAAGAACTGGACACAGACACAGTGTGGCCTGACCAGATTCCCTTAGCAGCCATCACTGTACCAATAATATTTTTAGCAAAAATATTCCTATTTTTGGCAGTTAGAATGTGGCTTTATAGAATTGTGTTCATTACTGAGTTTGAGGACCAAATTTCATTTGGTGAATGAAATCATCATTTGGCAAATCAGTTGGTGAATGAAGTAAACAAAGCCAGAGGAACCCTTCACGGTAACATGTAGGCAAAAGGACAGAAAGAAGAAAGGAAAACCTTTTGTAACATTTTAAAGACTAACAGTGTGAGCTTTTGTGGCTCAGAATCCACTTCTGCAGACATAGTGATTAAAAGCATGTTCCATGTACACTATTTATCCCATGATGATAAGGTTCATGAGGAGGAAAATAATAGACCAAGAAATAATGGTTTGTTAAGACAGGAAGCAGGTCTCAGGTAAACTAATAAGCTAGACAGACTTGGCTGTCATAAGAATTTTAAGAGACTGTAAAAGGAAACATTTTTATACCCATAAGATATTACAGAAAGCTGAGTTATTAACAAATATTCAGTGCGCTAAGAAGCCTTGATCTTTATTTAGGCCCTTTGAGGTAAATTGGAACTTGTTTATGTAGCCAGTTTCTGCTGCCTCCCTTTCTACAGAAAACTGGAATACTGTATCTGCTAATTAAAATCCTCTTGTGCTAACAAACTACTGTCACCTTGTCTGCTCCTTTACCTGGACACGTACTGTACCTCACCACTATGGAATAAACCACCATTGAATAAACAGAGGATATGTATTTGCAATCTTGTGTCCAAAAATGTGGATTTTAGTCCATGAAAACTTACATTGAAATAAACCTGTTAATCTTTAAAGGGCTACAATATTTTGCTTCCTCCCCCCCGCACTCATTTTACTTGCATGCTGACACAAACTAATACAGCTGGTTTTCTGAAAGTTATTGTAACATTTAACTGATGCTTATGGCAATGCAAACCCCAGGATTTACACCCTAAATTTTGCTGGTACTTGGCATTAGGTACATATGCTGGACAGGAGTGACTCTGCTCGTTATATGTTAATTCTACATGCAATGGCTGCAACTGAGTGAACATTTTAGAGTGATAGATGTAAATAAATTTGGTTGTGGATCATGTGGCATTTTCATTAAGTCTAAGGGACTTGAATCTTTTTTTCTCCTTGTAGAGAAGTGATCTTTTTTAACAAGGTATATCTCACATGTTGGCAGACCATATAAGAGGATGGACATGCCTAGGATGGCTGAATTAGTGTCCTGTGCTACTTCAGACTGCATTGAGCAAATTATATTTTGAATGTCTCTTTTAAAAAGAAGGCTCTTGGGGAGCCAGAATAGCTGAGTAGTACTGTATGATCACAGCTAGAAACATTTTTAATGGGATGGTAGGGCATTATTTTGTTTTCACTTAGAAAAAAATCCCTTTTTTGGAAGTAATATGGTCTATTTTACTATTTGTTTCCTGTTTCATTCTACCTACACATCACTGCCTCTCTAATTAGAAGAGGAACCTCCTTGTAGCATATGCTTATGGATAAAAACAGGGACACTCTAGACAACTTCAGATATGGTTATTATAGCTTAATAAGCAGGAACCGCTACCACCCATCCTGTTATCTGTGGCTTGCAGTTGATATGTATTGCCATTGCCAGTAGCAAGAGGAAGTATGATGGTAGAAATGTTTGTACTTGCTTAACCTGCTTAATGCGACTGGAGTTGTCAATAGCCATTTTCCCCACATATTCTTCTTGGGGATTTTTTATGCACAAAGTTTCAGTTGGGAACACTACTGTGGTATAAACATGTCCATGGATTAGGTTTTGGGATGCCCACAGACCTTTTATGTGATCTCACATACTCTTGAAATAAAATCACAACAAGATTCTGGCCAGTGTTAACCAGATTTGCAGGAAATACAGAGTGTTGGTACTAAGGTCGTAGGTCTCACCTAGGGAAATCCTACAAACATTTCTGGCAGTGTGCAAAGCTGACTTTATATTCTTCCACACTTGGAACTGAATGGTGCTGTGAAAGGAAAAAATAGCCCTGTATTCTTTCTCTTAACTGCTGTTCCTCAAATAGTAGGTTGTGAAGTCACAGCCCATTCACCCTCCTCTTTGCTGTGAGCTTTAGTCTCTGCCTTTTGGTAAAAACTCTTGTGATCTTGGGCCACTTTGTTCTGAATTGCTTTGCTGGTGATGCAAAGGATGTTTTTTTGCATTGTGAAACTCTGCTCATGACAGGGAGCCCAACATGGTTTGATATGGTTTGGTTTGGTGGTGACAGGGCACTGCAGCAAACTGGCTGGTAAGTAGCTATCGCTTAAGGCTGTCTCCGTGTTGCAGAACTTAGGTTTTAATGTTCAGTTTGTTAGTCACCACAGGGGTAACCTAACTTATTTCCATTTTCAGGACAGTTGGTCCAGTACAATGAATACATTTAAAAGATTACATAAGTAGGGTCACTTAGCTATTTAAAACTTGAAAACTGGTTTTACATAAAATTATACTGGTACAAAATCTGTGTTGTAGACCTTTTTATTTGTTTTTGCTGTAACTGGAGTACTATCAAGTTATCTACCTGGCACACGCGCACACACACAAACACAATGTTTCATCCTTGCGCCTTGAGGCCAAGGCAGCTGGGCAATTTGGGACTCCTAGCTTATCCTAAACAGCAGCACTCATGGCAATGTCAGCTGTTTGCCCTTTGTGCTTGAGATATTGATGTTGCTTCTCCAGCCACAGCTCTGGCTAGATTCCAAAGTAACCACAAGAGGAAAGGCCTCACACCCAAGAAGGGAGCTACCAGCAACCAAGGCCTTGTGGCAGCAGCTGTTTCAAGGCCTGGGTTAGGTATACCTCTTTGTAATCCGCAGGATAGCTTCCACCCCCCACACGTACTCATGATGACACAATGAAGTGAAGCAATTCTCCAAATCTTAGATGTTAATGCTCTTGGAGATATAAACAAAAGGGTGGGGACAAGCAAAGAGCAGTACCAAACACGAGGCAGAGACAAATGAAAACATTTTTTAAAAATAAGCCAAGACTCAAAAGTAATAGCAAGGCAACAGAGTTCCATTAAGAACTGATGACATCATAATGGTATAGAAACATTCCAAGCGTGTTGAGTTTCCTGTGGGTCTTTCAAAGCACTGGGACTAGTGACCTGTCCAGCAAAAGCCATCTGCTATAAAGTCATCCTTCCTTACCAGAGGAAGATGTCGGAGGAGAGAGAATGGATGAGAAGAATTCAGGAAGAAAATGCACATCTCAAAAATCAAATTAGACTGCTTAAGGAAAACTATGAACTGCGCATATTGTTGGGTCAGCAGTGTGACAAAAGCAGCCAAGTCCATTTATTAGCATCTCAAATTTCTCCTGCCAATGCTGATGCTGGTTCACTGATGAAAGGAGGTAAGGAGCAAGTTCTGCCAGTTGACTAAGAAGCTCTTATGAATATGTAATTAATATCAAATATTCATAATTTTAAAGCACCCGTACCTTAAAAAAAACAGTTTCCCAACCAAAAGGGATAATTCCATAGAGGGCTTTGTTGCATTGAGGGTTTTTTTTCTGTGCTTGTCATGTTTTAATTCAGATTTGTCTGTGCTCAATCTCATTGTGGGGTAAATGGCCAATAATGTTGGCACCCACCGTTCCAGACCTCCCAAGAGATTGTTTTACCGTCTTCCTGCTCTAATTCTGATCACACCATTGAAAAGAGATGACATAGTTTAGATGTGATTTGATTCTTGCATCAAATGAACAGGCTTCGTCTCATTTCTACCAACCATACTAGGCAATAAAGCCTTTTTTACTTTGTTAATATTTATTCATTGAATCATTTTTGGCTTATGAAGCCCCCCCCAAAAAAAACACCTGGATATGGCACAGCTCATTCCAATGGAGTAGCTGTCACATCAATAGCCTTTTCAGCAAATGCTCCTCTGAAGGAAATCTGCACACTAGCAACATGCTTCCACATTTACAAGGCATGACAAGGTAGCAGCTGCCGCAACTAGATTGATTTGATTAATTCAGCCACCTTTCCCACCACCACCAACTAGTGAATATTTTGGACACGCTTGTGTAGGTCCCATTCCTGGATAAACTGCAGACTGAGAATGGTGGACATTGGCTTCTCTTCCATGAAAGTTCATTCTGGTCTGCATAGAATAATACAGCCCAAGTCTTCCCAAGGAGTGGTTAACTCCACTCCTCAGAGCACAGGGGACATGTCTTCAAAATTCTTCCTTTCTCTGGCTCCTTCTGTGCTGTGCTATGGAATGAAAACAGAGAAGAGACAAAGAGGATAGATGAGGTGTGATAAAGCCCACGAGTGTTCAGTCTCCCTGCCCTCCTCCTCTGGTGACAGGATTAACTGGTCCCGCCTCCCCAGACCAGAAAGGTTTTTCACAGAAGGCAACCCAAGTGTCTGTTTAACTCCTGAAGGAATGAAGGATTGCCACAAATGCACAGCTCCTCCACACTGAGCATTTGCTCAACTTCTGTTGCACCCAAAACACTGGTATTGCATCCTATCCACATAGTGCAGAGCGAAAACAAAGAGTCAGGAGATTCTAAGTAGGACCAAAAAAACACAACAATCTTGTTTTCTGGTTTTTTTCACGCTACCAGTGATGGTATATTTTTGTTCTCCTTTGCTGCAGTGCAGGACCTTAATTCCATGTTGTGGGTTGTCATTTGATTTTGTTTCCTTATGGGAGTTTTTCTACTGGACAGTTTCCACCCCTGCAGCAGGTAGGAAGAAGACAGAAAAGATATGTAAAAGGGGAGGGCAGTCCTTGGAGATGTCAGATTCCAGATGTGTGTTGACAAGCCATGCTGGGATCACTCAGTGCATCCAGCAGCAAATACCCTTTCCATGTATGGGCACAAACACTGGGATGATCTATTGAATTCTGCAACTAAAAATCCCAGAATAACCCCAGAATGACAGGAGACAAGCCCACTGACAGGTATTGTTTACATTATCTTCCCTACTACTTCCAATTTGTCTGTAAACAAATTGTCCCATAAGGAAATGTCATCAGACTTCTCTAAAATACAGCCAGATTACCTGGTTGGTTGCTCGGTCGGTTGGTCGTTCATTCATTCGTTCAATTTATACACGGCCAAGGGCTACTCTGGCACGTTACGACACAAAATAATAAAATAACAATATCCAGAAATCAAATCATAAAATACAACTCAATTATACTGCACTACAGCCAGGGTTATCTTTTTGCTCACCAAAGCTCTCATTATCGCGTTGCCCACAGCCAGAAAAAAATTCTTACTCCCTTTTCTCACAAAAAAACACACTGAATTAAAAATAATAATTTAAAAGACAAAACAAAAGTGGTGCTACTGAAGTTTACCTTGTAGCATGGGTCACCTTTCCAACAATCATTTTTTCTGAACAAAACAGAATCCCAGATTCTTGTTAGATCCCACATAGATCTGTACCTTGTTACACAGAAATATACTTTGAACGACCTTTTTATAAATTCCAATGAGAATTTTAGAAAGCTAACCTATATCAATGCAAGTGTAGGTGATACTTTTATAGACCCTGAAAAAATCATCATGCAATCTGTGAACTTTCAGAGATCAGTGTCACCCACTTCGTCAGGTGTGTGCCAATGTGAGGAATTTAAAGTCCAAACGTTCATGGCAATTTGGGCTTTGCCAGGAAAGTTACTCTTAGATGTAAAGTCCAAACGTTCCTGGCAAAGTGGGTTTCTCCAGAGACATCTTTCTTAGCTGAGGTAGCTATGGATTGGATATCTAGTTACAGCTAGATATTTTAGTGGTCTATAAAGATTTCACCTACTCCTGCATTTTGTATTTTGTAATGACCCCATGGCTCTCTTTTGTATTTCAATGGAATTATAATATATCAAATAATATCAAGCACAAGTCCTTAAGATCTGCCAACAACATGCATTCTAGTCAGCCACAAATATGCCCTTGTGATCGTTGGTAGCATCATGTTTATTCTTGTTGTTGCAGTTCAGTATATTGGAAGAGAAGATTCTAATTATTGCCCCAACATCATCTCCAAGGATACCACTATTCAGTCCACTCCCAGTGCTCAGACATCGGTTAAGTGGCTTTGCAAAGATCCTCTGCAGCCCAGAACTGGGGAAAAGAGAGCCACACATTTGTCAAACATGTCATCTTCTACCATTGGACTAAAACAACTTGAAGGACCCATAGAGATCTCTGTACCCAAGAAAACTTGGCTCCCAGATGGCCTTTTTCCTGGTGATAAGACTCAAGCTTCGTTACCACTTTGCACTGGTGAGTAATGGTTGCTTGATGTCAACTATGTGTTTGTGTGTGTAGGCCCCCACACACTGGCAATAGAATGGTAGCATGTGAATCATAGAATCATGAAGTCGGGGTCTCAAGGGCCATGGAATCCAACCCCTTGCTCAATTTGTTGTTTAGTCATTAAGCTGTGCCCGACTCTTCGTGACCCCAGGGACCAGAGCACGCCAGGCCCTCCTGTCTTCCACTGCCTCCCAGAGCTGGGTCAAATTCATATTGGTCACTTCGATGACACTGTCCAACCATCTCGTTCTCTGGCATCCCATTCTCCTCTTGCCTTCACACTTTCCTAACATCAGGGTCTTTTCCAGGGAGTCTTCTCATCAGATGGCCAAAGTATTGGAGCCTCAGCTTCAGGCTCTGTCCTTCCAGTGAGCGCTCAGGCTTGATTTCCTTCAGAATGGATAGTTCTTCAGCGTGGCCTCTGTGAATGCACACAAATGGGCAAAACAGTGCCTGCGCTGGTCCTCTCGGAATCTTCTAGAGCTTTAGGAAAAAGTAACAAAGTTTAGGTTGCCCTGCACAGCACATGCTCTCAGTTCCATTTTTTCTGCCCGCGGAGCTGGAACCTCTCACCTAGAGCTCCTTATTCGCATTGCTAAATTGGCTATTTTTGATCCTGACTCGGCTTGTTTCTTTGACTTCCCACCTATCTGTTGCCCTGACCTCAGACTGAACGATTTTTCTTCTGATCCAGACTGATTCTCACTGCAAGTACTTGTTGATTCACTTTTCCTGCCTATTGAGTGCCCGCTGAGGCGGCACGCGTGGCCTTCCTAATCCTATTATTGCCTCATTACTGGACTTCCTCCCTGTAATTGCCGGCTTATGTCACGTTCAGGACCTTTCAGCTGCTGTTCTTCTTGTTCCAGAAAGCTACCTTTCTCTGATGGACACAGCCTTTGTGTTTTTTGCCTGGGGGGAAACTATCAACCCCATCTCTGTAAACACTGCAAAGGGTTTACCAAGGCAGCTCCTAAAGCTCGTCAGCAGCGGTTGAAGTATTTTCTTTGGAATAAGACTCCCTCTGCCTCTCAACCCTCTGAGATGGAGTCTACTCCTACCCCATCTACTATTCGGTCTGAAATTCGGGTTGCCTCACCACCCCCTCTTCAGACTACTAAAACTGTGGACAAAACCAAGAAAAAGCCACCTACTAAGAAGCCATGTACTGATTCTTCTGCTTCCACCACTGACAGCGGTCTGAAACAAAAGAATACAGCATCTAAAACCAAAGGAAAATCTAAGGAACATGTGCATACTGTTCCCCCAATTTCGGCGTTGGTGCCTTCACCTATTTTAGAGGATTCTTCCCAGGATCGGGAAACTTTCTCTGAGGCAGGAACGTCTTTTCCACCCCAACAACAAGACCTACTGCCTGTTGATGCTGGACGATCACCGTCCACAAGCCAACTAGCCCAGACAGTTGCTAGTTTGGCTATGGCCCAAGACAGCCCTGTTTTTACCGGGCATCACAAACTCCTTCATCGGCGTCGAGGTCTCTGGCTTCCAATTCTCCACCCCAAAAAAAGTTAGCCAAGACCAAGAATCTGTCCCCTTCTCGACGTCCACATTCGGGACAGGAGGTAGTAATTTTGCCTAGCAAATCTCAGCATCGACATAAGCAGACAGGATTACTCTGACTCTGACGTCAAGAGGAGAAGAAAACATTGACATTGAAGAGTATAATCACTATCTGATTCAGATTATAGTTAAGACTGGAAAAAATCTCGGTGTTGACATCGAAGACGGGATTATACCTCTGACTCCTCTTCGACGTCGAGAGATTACGGGAGAAGAAAAAGAACTCACTACAATTATTCCTCTTCTTCTCCATCGGTTTCTCCCCCTCACAAGCATCGATGTCGAAAACACATTGACATCAAGAGCCACAAATCATTGGGACAGACCCATAGAAATGAAGCTGCAATTCCTCATCAGGACAAGTCGCAAGCAACTTTCAAATGCACAACATCTGGTCGTGAGCAATCATCCCAAAGGGAAACAGTGCATCTTGCTAAGAGACTCAACTCAATCAAAGCTTGCATGTTAAAAAGAGCAGAACGCATAATAAAAAGAGCAGTTCGCAAGTCCTAGCCACATGCGAGACAAGACACGCACAGGGACTGATGGCTTCAACAACATGTGCAGTGTCTCACACTCATCTAAAGATGTGTGCTCTTCAATCTTGGCTTCTTGCCCTCTACGATCCACTTCACGACAGTCAGCTGAAACGCTTGCTTGTCACACCAGAACTCTCACAACAGTTACAATGGTAGACGTTTCTACCACATCTCTTAATCGGCAGGCCCTTTCGACCTCTACAGCTGACATGCCAGGTCACAATGGGTGCAAGCCCCACAGGTTGGGGGGTACATTGCGGGGAACATCAGATCCATAGGGTCAGCTCAGGAATCCACCTTCCACATCAACCATCTAGAACTGCTAGCTGTAATAAAGGCCTTCAGAGCATTCCTTCCTCTGATACAGGGTCAGGGTGTACAGCTCATCAGAGACAACACCACAACCATGTATTACATAAACAAGCAAGGAGGAACTCGATCCATGTCCCTACTTTTCCTGGCAGTTCATCTATGGGAATGGTGTTGACAACATCACATATTCCCTGTAGCCATCCATGTAGCCACAACAGACAACGAACTGACTGACAAGCTGAGTCGTCTCCCATTCCAGACTCACGAGTGCTGAAATTCACAGTCTACAAACTTCACCACTCTCCTTGACTTCACTTCTACGGTATCTTCGATACCTGTTTGATTCAGGCCTCTCCATCTCTACATTAAAGGTCTATATTTCAGCCATTGTTTCTTTTCAGCCACGTGACTCTGAAGCATCCAGATTTTTCTCACATCCAACACTTAATGTGTTTCTTAAAGGCCTTTCTAACATGAGACCTCCGGTAAAGCATCCTGTACCACAATGGTCATTACAGGTTGTGCTACATTCTCTCACTCGTCATCCTTTTGAGCCTATGGCATCCTGTGACATCTGTCTTCTAACATTTAAAACTGTATTCCTAGTTGCTATCACATCAGCACGCAGAGCGAGTGAGTTAGTAGCACTTTGTTCTGATTCACCTTACCTCCAATTTTTCAAGGACAAAGTCATGTGATACCCTGACGTTTCGTTTTTGCCCAAAGTTGTTTCAGAATTTCATGTTAATCAGCCTTTGGTGTTGCCTACACTGTTTCCGAATCCTGTTTCTGATGTTGAGTGCATGCTCCACTCCTAGATGTGAGAAGAGCTTTAGCATATTATGTCACATGCACCAAGGAATTCCGCACAGCACATAGACTGTTCCTCTGTTTTTATGGACAGCGCAAAGGTTCTGCTACCTCCTCTTCCACATTATCAAGATGGTTGGTTTCGACTATAGCCCTTGCCTATGAACTGCAGAACAAGCCTCTCCCTGAAGGTCTCAAAGCTCATTCTACTAGAGCTACTACGGCCCTGCTGCGAGGAGTTGACATCCCTGACATCTGTAGAGCAGCTACATGGTCCAATGTGTCTACATTCATAACACATTATAGACTGGACCTCCGGGCCAAGAAAGAGACCAACTTTGGGAGACCAGTGCTGACATCCATCCTTCAGTGACGGCCCTCCTTCTGGTAAGTGAGCTTGCTAGTCACCCATTTGTGTGCATTCACAGAGGCCACGCTAAAGACAGGTACCTTGGCACCAAGCATCCCCTTTCAGTTTCTTTCAATCACTGCGTTGAGAACCTCGTAATTCTGCTTCTGTAAGTGAAAGAGAAAGAGAGATTATTCTTGATTCTCCCCTGAGTCTTCTCTTCATTAAGCTAAACATACCTAGTTCTTTTAGTCGTTCTTCATAGGATTTAGACTCCAGTCCCCTTATCATCTTTGTTGCTCTCCTCTGCACCCCTTCTAGGACCTCAGTGTCTTTTTTGTATTGTGGTGACTAGAACTGGACACAGCACTCCAAAGTGTAGCCTCACCAGCCCAGTACAGAGTGGTAATGTATCTTCCCGTGATCTTGATGCTATCCCCGTTGATGCAACCTAGGACTATGCTGGCTTTCATGGCAGCTGCAGCACACTGCTGACTCATCCTTAGGTGGTGGTCCACCAGGACACCTAAATCCCTCTCACAGGTACTACTGTCGAGCCAGGTACCACCTATCCTGTAATTGTGGATCTGGTTTCTCCTGCCTAAGTGCAGGACCATACTTTTCCTGCCACTGAACTGTATCTTCTTGGATAGGGCCCAGTGTTCAAGTCTGTTTAGATCCTTCTGAATGTTTAGTCTGTCTTCCAGAGTACTAGCAATTCCCCCCAGCTTTGTGTCATCAGCAAATTTGATGAGTGCTCCTTCAAGCCCCTTATCTAGGTCATTTATGAAAATGTTGAAGAGCACTGGGCCCAAGACAGAACGTTGAGGGACTCCACTGCACACGTCCCTCCACGTAGATGCGGTTCCATTGAAGACAACACATTGAGTGTGGTTGGACAGCCAGCTGCAAATCCATCTGGTAGTTGTGCTGTCTATCCCACTTTGTTCTATCTTATGCAGAAGCAGGTTGTGGTCTACCTTATCAAATGCCTTACTGAAGTCTAAGTGTACTATATCTACTGCGTTTCCTTGGTCCACTAATTTAGACATTTTACTAGGACCATTATAAAGTGGCAATACAATGCACTTTAAAATATCACAGGTAAGTGAAATATTTAAGAAATGGTTTCACCAGTTCCATACCCCCAGTGCACTTCCATGGCTAAGCACTACCATGGAAGCTCACAGGAGTTTCAATGGTGCTGCCATGGAACAAACAAGGCTTCCTGAATCCACTACTGTATCCTCTAAACCAGCCATTCTCAACAGGCTCATCTTGTTCCCTGGGGGGCCCTGGCACATTTGAAGGGAGGCACAAGTTGGAGCAGGTTTTTGTTTAGTCGTTAAGTCGTGTCTGACTCTTCGTGACCCCATGGGGGGGTCATTGCACCTGAGGGTAGTTGGAACACACTCTTGTGGTTCACAAAACTACTCATAACATTATAATTCAGTTAAACAAGATAGAAAAAATACAGGGGTAGAGTATCATACCGTAATTGGCAAGAATCAAGAACACCAAGCCAAACGATGCAATGACCACCCATGCGGGACAGAGAGGATTGTGCAAAAATCTTATTCTTTATTTATTTTTTGTGGATGTGGTGTGTTGTGTAATCCCTTTGTCCTTTAATTCCTTCAGATGTTGAAGTGCGTTGTTAAAGAAATATGTTTTGTTGCAGCTTACTCTTCAAAGGACATGCTAAGTCACTCGCCCTCATGGCCCGAAGAATCAAACACCACCAGTATGTTCAACAGGGAGGATGTCCAAGCACAGACCTCATTTTCAGATGACCTCAAGCTCCACAAAGGAGGGTCCATCTTAAGGATTTCTGAGAGGCAGCCCTCTCACATTTCAAACAGCGCACAAGACTCAAGCCTCAACAAGGCTCAGACTGATTCCCAGGAGACTCCGAAGAAGAAAAGGGTCTGGTTTTCAGACACCCTTGGCCCAGACAAGTTAAGGAAGCTCCAGACATTCTACTTAAATGGTAATACTGTACTGAGATGTTGCTACCAATTGATGATGAACAGGTATTGAAATGAAAACACCGTGACCAATACAAAGGATTTCTTATTTATTTATTTTGTTTACTTTATTTCTTTAATGCCTTTCTTCCAAAAAAAGGGGGGGAGAACAAATATGGCTGAGACATAAACCACTGCAATCATAATAAACTACAGTATCAAAATGCAATTAAATGTAAACCAATATTAAAAGTGCACTTGTCAAGGAGAGTTATAAACAAAGTATGTTATACAACTAGAGCGCAATGCATCTGTTCTCACCCCCCCGCCCCCCAAAAAACACAGTTCGTTCAATGAACAGGAAGGTGTTTGCCTTCTAGTGGAAGAACAAAAAGGAGGAAGCCCAGGTAGCTTCACTTGAGGGGAGTTCCATAGCTTAGGAAGAGCAACTAAAATGTCCTCTCTCTTGTCTTCGTAAAATATTCAGGTAAGCAGGCTTTCCATATCACTTGTTTAGTCTTCTCCTCCAATTTTAGAGGTGTTACCATTGCCTGTATGGACTACCATCTGGCTGGAGTTCAAGCTTTCAGTTAAAAAGTTGTCTGGGGCTTATTTTATTTATTTATTAGTTTTATTTATAAGCTGTATTTCTCCCAACAAGGGTCCCAAAGCGGCTATGAGAGCTGTATTCCAAAAAATATACTTTTCAAAGTTCCGACATTATGCATCTTACTGCATTTCCTACTTTGGCAGGAAGGTGAACAGGATCACTCTTGAAGTCCCTTCTACACGTCTATATGAGTCTGTGGCTGTCCAGAAACACTGAGTTCTGATTTGTCTCCCACAGGTTTCTGGATGCTGTTTCCCTGGGGAAGTCTCAAAGGGGGGGCGGGGTTTGAGGAAAGAGGGTTAGTATAAATTATTAGAAACCTCTGCTTGTTATTTTTGTTTTTTCAACATGGTGACTGTGTTTGCCAGAAGTCAAATATGGCAAAGAAAGTTAAGCTATTTTGTGGTTGTATAAAATATTCTCAGAACAAAGTGACACCTTGATTTCCCCCTGATTTTTGCAACTTCTCTCTCTTTCTCTTGCATTTCCCCCCTGCAAATCAAGTGGCCGTGTGTCACTCATGGGGCATGCCTGTGTGCTCTTATGATTCTACAGGTTTTGGTTTTGCCTCGGTAAAAGATAATGCAAAAATTAATATGCAGCTTATGAGATTATGATCAGAAATCCACTGTGTGCGGCAAAATGTTATTACTTGTTTATATCCACCAGCAATGTTCATGTCTGTTTTACGTGTTTCCCTGCTCCCATTTTTTTCTGAAAGGGACTGTAAGACAAGTTTGTCTGAGAAATACTGACTGACCCACGGACGCCAAGGAAGCTTTGAAACTGTGTAGGGATTTTATATATGGATCTCTTTGTTCCAAGTCCAACATTCAAAACCATTATATTGTTGTTACTTGCTCACACTAGTAGTTACAGTGTAATTTTCACATAGCTACAATATATTGGTCGAAAAATAATGCACCAATTAATGTGCTTGATTTGCATGCAATATAAAGCTCCACGTGTGAACATTGTATACAATTTTTCACAGTATGCAAATTGGATCATCTAATTTTCACAGTATACAGTTTGGATTGTCTAATTTGTATAATATGTAAAAATAGGCTGTGCGATTGGTGAACTGGAATATGCACCCCTATGATATCCATAAAATAATATTATAATTAAGTGTGTAAACAGCTAAATCAGAAACAGTTGTCTTTTTGAGCGAATCAGTTTCCAGTTTCCTCCAAGGAGCCAGCTTTTGCTGACCTAAGATTTCCATAAAGGCAAGTATTTGCTCATTCAATCATTGTGAGAACACTTATCTAGACATCTGACCAACCCCTCTCCTTATTTTGTGGAATCCAAAATTCTGCTAAAGTAGGTTAAGTGTTGTTAAGTTGTGTCCGACTCTGTGACCCCATGGACCAGAGCATGCCAGGCCGTCCTGTCTTCCACTGCCTCCTGGAGTTAAGTCAAATTCATGTTGGTTAAGTGTACCTAAGTTGAATTTGTTTATTGATTATATTTCTTATTCTTTCTATGTGGTTATCTTCACCTGTTTGCTCCTTCGTCCCACTATATTTTTATATTTAAACATTTGACTGTGTTGTTTTGAGTGCAAATTTCTCTCTTAAACGTTCCCTGCATGAAATCCCACAGTTTCAATATTACAGTTCCTGTGCTTTGAATTGTCACAAGATTTCATTAGGTTCTGTATCCTCTAAATCTTGAGGCAGACTCCAAAAGGTTAAAGCCAAAGCACCCACCCTTTAAAAAATAAAACAAAATCTCAGATGTGTACTGGAATGCGGGGGGGGGGAGTATGGGTCCATGTCAATAGGATTACGAGGAGACCAGGCTGTCTGATAGGTCTATAACTGATTCCTCTGCTGGGGAAAACGTGTAGAGAACGGGTCCACAAACAGGCAAAATAAGATTTGCCTTCCAGATCCATAACAGAGGTAGAAGTGGAAGTGTTTGGGGTATGTGCTGCTCAATACTTAAGAACTGAATTTAAGAAAACTGAAGTTGTCATTATTACATCCAGTGAGAGAGAGAAGTAATTGACACCTATTTTAAACCACCTTTTGTTTATAAAAATGACTGTTTTGAATGTAAGATGAATGTAAACATTTATTTCCATTTTTTTTCACTCCCCACAGACATAGAGATCACTCAGAACAGCAAAAGAAATGGGCGCATAGTGGGAGAGATTGCCTTTCAATTAGATAGGCGAATCCTTGCCCATGTGTTTCCTGGAATCACACGTCTCTATGGATTCACCGTGTCCAATATTCCTGAGAAAATCAAACAGGTGAGTGGCTAAAATGACAATGAGAAAGGATTTGCTTTGTGATTGGTATGGGTAACTCCATCCTGAATCTCACACCATTCAGCTTCGTGAAGTTACCTCAGAAGAAGTTGTATTGTTGAAGATTAAGAGAGAGAGAGAGAGAGAGAGAGAGAGATCACACACACACACACACACACACACCCCTCTTTTGCATGTATCTGCCTACCCCTGGACATAGTCTCACATATGTACTCACACCCATCCACATGCCTTCCTCTGTTGCCTGTGTCCCGTGTGTGCACATGTTAACATCTTCCAATCAAATGAGACGTTACAGGGTCTCTTTACCAGAACTATTAACAAATCCAAGATTTTGACTAGGTACACCTCAGGCATCCTGCACTGATAGAAACCATATTCAAGAAATGTTAGTCATTAATGAAGGCCAAAATTCAAGTACATAGAAATGTGTCTTTCCTGCTCTTACATCATTTTCTCCTCAGCCATGTGATCTGCTTTGCGTGGCTCTGGAAATAGACAACTAGGAATGTTGTTTATTTTCCACAGATAATCTTGATGCAATCCAAGCTTCTAATTTAACATGTTTCCCCAACTTTTTCACCACTTGAAGGAGCACTCTTTCTAGAAACAGATTTCTCAGAGCATGTCATTTGACCTTGAGTTGGAAAGGAACTTAAGTGGTCACTCAGTTGAAACCTCAGTGCAATATCTAAAATTAATTTTGTTGAAAACTTGTCTCATGTGCCCCTAATAATACTGTTGAAAGTCAAACTTATTACCTTGCCTTTTGTCAAATGCTAATAGTGACTTATATAGGTCAATATCTAGGTCTCCCTGAAATCTTTAAATGGCTCTGTGGACGAGAAGATGTATCGAGCCATAACCCAGCGCTACCTGGACCTAACAGCCCGCCTAGAGAAGATGGGCTATCATACAGAAATCCACCCTGTGTTTAGTGAATTTCTCATCAACACCTATGGCATCCTAAAACAAAGGCCAGATCAGAACTCTAATCCCATGCACAACAATCCTGCTGAACTCAGAAAAATGGTGATAGACATCGTCCCACCCAAATTCCTTGGAGATACCTTACTGCTGTTGAACTGTTTGTGTGAACTTTCGAAGGAAGACAACAAAGCTCTCTTTGCTTGGTAGTGCACACCGCAGCTCTTGCCGTAAAGACTCTCATAGTAAGAAGACACAAGCACAACCTATGCGTAATAAAATAGTATTTGCTGAAAAGGGGAATCAAGTAGAGTGCACTTTTTTTTGTATCAGGCTGTTGCTGGTAGAGCTGCTTTTTGCTGTGTTTAATTCACATTGCTTTTGACTAGTTGTACCTTTAAAACTGATAATGTGTTTTTTTTTAATTTATATCATATTTATATTTATTGGCAGCTGGTGGGAGGTAAATTTTAGTATAAATAAAATACAATAAAATAAAAATTGTTGTTCAGCACTCAGTTCACATATTAAATACTTAGTTACTTGTTCAAAAGCTTGTTAACAGATTGCCAGATATCTCAAAGCTTTCACATTTCTCTCATCCCACTTATGTAACACTTCCTGTGGGGGATGTCTGCACTTCCAAAATTTCATAAACTGCCTTGAGTACTATCTTTTACTGGAAAGGCAGCGTATAAATATAATACATGAATAACATTCATTCCCCGAAAGCCAGTACCCTCTGAAATTTAGCTTTTGAAGATCATTTCCTATACGGATGACATGGATGACTAGAGACACTGTTCTTGTCTGTATGTTCTGTAATGCTGTTGTATAGTACACTGAGCTAAGATGAAGAAAACGTTGTTGTTGTTATCAATGTGATAAGCAGGATGAGAGCACAGAAGCTCTCATCAGAGTGCCGTCCACAAATAAGACCTCCAGGGAGGTACAGACCACTCTGCTGCCAACACCTCTCAGGAAAGTACACTGGGGGAGTCTGTGGGGGTCTAACAGTAGCAACCCAAATGGAGAGAGAATTGGCGGGAAGGGAAGAAAAGGGGAGGTCCAAGGCAGAGGCAGGAATTTGGGTTATAAATAGGGAGGATGACAATATCCCGGGGGGCTGGGAACTCATCTGGGTAAACCACCCTTGGACTGGGAAATGGGAAAGGGCGAAAGTACCCAGGGAAGAGGCTGACTATTGCCGAAGGAGAGGACTTCCCCAGCACCCGTCTTACTGGGGTGAGTCTGAGGTGAGGGAGTGGAGGAGACGACTGAGGGAGGAGAAGGAAACAGTGGCGCGAGAAACTGAGGAACGTGGAGCATGGCGAGCAGAGGAGGCGTGGAGGATGATGTACCTCTGGGACCATGGGGACAACTTGTGGGTGAGGGAGACCTGGTATGGCAAGGGGACAAGGATGACAAAACCTCCCCATTATTGAGAGATGAAGGCACCAAAGCAGATGTGCCGGACTATGACCCTTTTGTTGCTGGACCCTGGAACATTAAATCTTTGAACCCATTTGACTCTGAGCTCTAGTTACCCTTATGAGCCCCGTTGGCTTCGCAAGAGAACTTAAGACAGGAATCATTTAAAGAAGTTTTACCTTTGCATAAAGAAATAAACACTCGTTTGGATTTCACTTTAAAAAAGACTCCTGGTTTATTCGAACAAAGGGGAGGGATGAATACCGAACCTTCACAATCCATTTCCAGTGGCATGTTGCTATACCTCTCTGGATACGTTGGCGTCATCTTGCAGGTGCCGATCCAAATAGGGAATAAGCAACTGACACACCCTTTCCTACATATGGATAAATGCCTGGCAAACTTGCTGGGCCAAGACTTACTTATGAGATTACGAGCTATATTGGAATTCTATGAAATGGGAGGTAAGGTTCATTTTTCCTCTCCAGCAGCACAGATGTTTGTGCTAAGTAAGCTTAAAGCCCCCAGTAGGGAAAACAATGATTGGAGATGCAGTGGCCTCAGCAGTAGCACCTTGGGTCTGGGCCCCAGGAACACGGGGGGGGGAGCCAAATAAGCTGAACCCATAGAAGTGAAATTAAAGACAGGAAAGAACCCAGTGTGCATTAAACAGGACCCACTCAAGGAAGAAATCAGAATAGGACTCCAAGAGGTCTTGCAGGGACTGATCAGCCCCTGGATTTCTGCATTCAGTACTCCCATCATGGCAATTCTAAAGAAAGAGGGCAGGGCCCAATTAATGTGAGATCCATGAAGTAACACAAGATATTTCTCCAGTTGAACCCAACTCTTACAATCTGGTGACCCTGATCTCCAGTTCTCGTGCCCACTTTAGTGTATTAGACTTGAAGGATGCTTTCTTCATTATTCCCCTCATACAGAATTGCTCAGGCAGTGGGTATAAACCTGCCTAGTCGGCCCTTACAACACTCTTTGCTCGCCTTCACATCTGGGGAGGGGTGCCCTCTGTTAGCCTTAATCACCTTGAGGGTTTATACTCTGGTGTGTGAGCCCGTTCTCTGCCTGCAGCTCCCTCCTCCTCATTGGTCATCTCCTCTTCCTCTCCTCCCCCTGCCCTGGGTGGGGGTAATGCAGGAGAGGCTGCAGGGGCCATGGGAGCTGGCTGGGGTGGAGGTGGAGTGGTAGGCACAGCTGGCAAAATCATCTTGTAAGGGGAGACGGGTGTTGTCTGATGTCACGGGGCGTTGAACAGTTAAGATTTTGTTTGGATAATGGTCAGGGTTGAGATTAACTGTTTGAAAAAGATAGGCACATCCAATGTCCCATCCCAGCTTCCCTGGAGTTCAATTACACCAGTCCACCAAAGCCCGAATGTTTATCCAATTAAAGCTCCCATTCACTTGTCATGCCAGAGGCCCGATACTAGGTTGAAAGGGCCACTCATCATGACAAAGGTGTATTAACTCCTCATTTGTCTGGCCAGCCTGCAGGCTTCCCAGATCACTCCAGTGTTTCAATGCACAGCCCAGAGGTGTCCCTCTTAGGGGCTTGCTATGGCCACCACCCATTTCGGCATATTCCCTATACCAGTTAAGTACTTAGTGCTGGGTCTTCCTTATAGTCCAGCTCCTTACACTCTCACTTTCATACAACGTCACACTGCAAGGTGGAACACGTGTTCACAAACTGAGTGCCCTTGCATTTGACCGTTGACTATCATAGGCTACAAGCCTCAGATCAGGATCAGGGTGGCTATATTCAGGATTCATGCCACAGTTCTGTTCACTCCTGGGAAAACACAGGGAACAAATACATTCTCACACCACTAGACAGCCTCCAAGAGTGTCCACTATACTTACGAAGACCGGAATGAGAGGGAGCCTGACTTCAGGGATTAGAGCTCTGTACGGGCCACCACTATCCACATTACAAAGCTGGGAGAGCTACAAGAAAAGGTGACTTACTTTTAAAAAGAAGAGTAGTAGCTGCTGTGATTGCTAAAATCAAATAACAAAAGTGTGCTGCTTATATACCATTGCATAGCCTTAAAGCTCTCTCTGGGTGTTTACAGTTTAATTATACAAGCTACACAGCAAGCTGTGTGCTCAGTTTACTGACCTCAGAGGGATAGAAAGTTGAGTCAACCTCGAACCAGCTACCTGAACTCAGGATTGAACTCAGGTCATGAGCAGAGTCCTTACTGCAGTAGTGCAGTTTAACCATAAGGCACCAGCTGCAAGCATGCTTCATGCACTGCTGCCAGATGGGAAGGAGGCAGAGAAGGGAGCAACACACCTCCTGCCAAAGGTGGGCTGCTATGTTCAACTGGCCAATTCTGAAACTGATGTCTAACCTTAAAAGGGTTTTGTGTTCTTTGCATCTATTGCCCTAGACACAGTTCTATTCCCTTTCTTGCCACTGCTGTTGCAGTGAAAAATTATTGTAAAACCTGAGCAAATAACATACTCCTGTACATGTTTATCTAAATGTATTTTCCATACATTTGCTACACTTGATCTTAGCCAAAAGGCTGAGAAGCCGTATATTTAAGGCATGTGTTATTCCATAGTAAACATATGTAAGAACACAGACTGACAAATGTTATGGTATAAACTGCTTCATAACCTCATAAAAACAAAATTTCTTGTGGTTCCTGTTGCAACAAGACTAATATAACTGCTTTCCCTTCAGAAACCTGTACATTTGCTACACTTGATCTCAGCCAAAAGGCTGAGAAGCCGTATATTTAAGGCATGTGTTATTCCATAGTAAACATATGTAAGAACACAGACTGACAAATGTTATGGTATAAACTGCTTCATAACCTCATAAAAACAAAATTTCTTGTGGTTCCTGTTGCAACAAGACTAATATAACTGCTTTCCCTTCAGAAACCTCTACAAAAGTAGCATGTTCAGGGAAGTGACTGTGTAAATTGTTGCACATTTATCCTCTCGCTTGAGATCAGAGTCAAGTTTTGCTTCAAATGCAGACTTCTAAAAGTGTTTCACAAACTGAAGTTGCAACTAGATGGCCAAATTATCCTTGCCTGGATTGAGCTGGATCATGTTAAACAGGGTCACTTTTGAGTGATCTTTGCATCTGTATGCAATAATTAACCATATCATACCTCAAGTGACTCTATGTGACCATTCTTTCCTTTTAAAGAGAAAGAATGAAAAAAAAATAACCGAAAGAATCCCCCCCCCCCCCCCCCCCCCCTCCTCC